ACTCCAGGCACCTCCTGATCTGTCAATGAGAAAACAGCACAGAAATTACTAAAGGAAATTAAAATAAAATCAGCCGTTATCCTAATCAGACACACATTTCTAAGACTCTGGCTTAAGTCTTACACAGACAAGCAGACACATAACTGAGAAAGAAGAAGCTTCCTGCACTCGTTGGTAGTCTCCAGAGTGACTCCTGGCTTTGCTACTTACAAGCTATGTGACTTTGCCCACGCTTGCCTTGTTTTAAAGTTGGGCTACTAGGACTGAGGTCACAGGGCTTTATGAGAATTTCATGCATTGGCATGAAAATCAGTTTCTAGAAGAGTGTATCAAGTATATGAACCATATGTAAGGTTGATATTTTTATTACCGCCCATTATACAAGAAGAAAAAATTTGGTGGGGGCTCCAGCGCCATCTTCTGACCTGCACAGGCATTGCACAATATGGATGCACTTACACACATACAGGCAATACACTCACACACGTAAAATTAAAAAAAAAAAAAAGCTAATGAGGGGCTGGAGAGACGGCTCAGTGGTTAAGAACACTGAATGTTCTTGCAGAAGACCCAGGTTCGAATCCCAGCACCCACATGGCAGCTAACAACTGTCCATAACTCCAGTTCCTGGGGATCCCACAGCCTCTTCTGTCCTCTTCGGGCACTTAACCGACATGCAGGCAATCCACGCATACACATAAAAAAAAAAATAATAAGCTCTGCTTCTCTGGGCCTGCATGACCCACAGGCCTCCGGGGTAAGTTGATCGTACCCTCCGTGCCTTGACTCCCCCAGCCTCATTCACCCTCCCATCTTCCCCGCAGGTCTCTCCTTCTAGCCTGGGTCCTGTCCCATTCCTTGTCTTGGCGCCCCAGACACGGGGAAACACCACTGCTTCAGATCGTTTGCATCCAGACCAACTCAGTTCCTTCTCTGGTCCAGAGGAGCACTGCTTCTGGGCCTGGACCCGCCCTCACTTCCCTCTGCCTCCCTGGGTCTGCACAACCCGCCACCCTCTTTCCTGGAAGCTGGGGCTGACCTTTCCTCTTCCTGGTCCTTTGCATCCAGACCAACCCTGCTCCTCAGCGCAGTCCCCAGGGGCCCTTGGGACTGCCTCCGGCCCCCATCTTCCTTTACATTTCTGGGTGGCATGGCCACCAGCGGCCCTAGACCGGCATCTTTCCTGGGCCCAGCTCCCAGGCCAGTCCAACCCCCGAATTCCTGAGACCAAAATCTTTCCTGGAGGGATCCAGACTTTAGGAGAAAGCCTGAGAGCATCTGATCTTTATCTGACTTGGGCCTCTGTGGGAACTCCTGAAGACAAAAGCAATCTGGCCACTCCAATATAAAATCAAAAGAAAGAACCGGAAGCTTAGAGGAACCAGCTTTTCTTGCCCAAAAAGTCAACCACAAAGACACATCAAGTTCACAGAAAGAAGCAGACCTAAACTTGAAGGCTTGAGTCTCACACAAGAATCAGAAACTACAAAAGAAATTCACATGTCAAAATCACAAAGAAAAAATATTTTTATTTTATGTGTATGAGCATTTTGCCTGTATGTTTGTAATGCAATGTGTTATGCAATGCCCGCTGAGGTCAGAAGAGGGCCTGGGATCCCCTGCAGCTGGAGTTACAGATGGTTGTTAGCTATCATGTGGGTGCTAGGAATCAAACCCAGGTCCTCTGCAAGAGCAGACAGTGCTCTTAACCACTGAGTCATCTCTCCAACTCCAGGAAAATCTTCACTTGTGTGTCCATACCTCTGACAGTGTCCAGTAAACACCAGTTTTCTCTCCAGCTTTCCATCCTAGTTGTAAGTCAATTGAAAAACAAGTGAGACATGTACCATACATAGAAACCAAAATATCACTTTGAGCACAAAACACATTGATGTTAGGGAACATGGCTCATCTCTGTCATCAACCAGATTTCCTAATAGTAAGTCTGAACAGTTAGACTTGCCTATATAGACACTAGATCATCTTAGTCTTCCCCAAATACAGTGGGATATTGAGAGAGGTAAGGTGTGCTGTGGTAAGACAACTGTATTTACCTAGATGGAAATAACAGAACTGAGAACTAATATTATTATCTATTGCCCTGTTTTTTCTTGCCATGGGAACATTTGACTATTAACTTTTTTTTTGGTCTTTTTGAGACAGGGTCTCTCTGTAGCCCCAGCTGTCCTGGAACTATGTAGACCAGGCTGGCCGTGAACTCACAGAGATCCACCTGCCTCTGCCTCCCGAGTGCTGGGATTAAAGGCATGCGCCACCATGCCTGGCTGACTATTAACTTTTACGTCAGAAGAGAGCATCGAATCCCCTGGAACTGGAGTTAAGGATGGTTCGTAGCTGCCATGTGAGTGCTGGGAATCGAACCCGGGCCCTCTGGAAGAGCAGTCAGTGCTCTTAACCGCTGAGCCATCTCTCCAGCCCATATTTTTGTAATATTTTATTTATTATTTTTATTTTACATGTATGTGTGTATTGCCTGCATGTAGGTAAGTGTACCAGTCTCGTGCAATGCCCACAGAGGACAGAAGAGGCTATTGGATCCCCTGGGACTGGAGTTATGGATGGT